ATGTGTTTTTGTATAACGCTATTCAGTAATGTATTTGTATTGTATGCATAATGTAAGTTAGATAGTGTAGTTGGAGTGTAGCTCTTTAAACATATTTTTTAATGATTTGTATTGGCTTTATTATTACATTTCATATCATTTTTACTTCTTATCACAGAGCCAGTTATGTATCAAACACAAAAGTGCACTGACCTGAGGAAAGGGGCTAAATACATGAAGTTTGATTAAGTTATTGAAACCATTTCTTGCTTGTTTACTTAGAGTCCCTCAAATGTTTTACTTAGATTACTTCATGTAATGGCTATGCTGTACTTAAGTGTACCAACTGAGCAAACCAATAACTAATTAACAGCATTAAGTCTTACATATCAGTAAAACAAAATGCAGTAGATCAGCTTTCCTGTGGTAGCCGTAGTTAATTTATGATCTTGTTAAAAACTTTGATTTAACACATCATATTATGAAATCACATGAATAACAGTTGACTGCACAGATAGGATCACTTTCTTTATCTCTTCATCCCTTTCCTCCTCTTCCTCTTGCCCTCTCCTCCCTTGTCTCCTGTGGTCCATGTCCCTTAGTCTATTTTTAGCTGGCTGGTGGAGGAATCCTATATTTTTAGTAACGATATCAATAGTCTACAGCACACTCTGACCTCAGGGCATGAGCGAGAAAGTGAGAGGGAGCGAGATGAGAATGAGAGATTGAGACTAGATAGAAAAGAGAACAGGGAGAGAGAGAGAGAGAGAGAGAGAGAGAGAGAGAGGAGAGATGAGAGAGAGAGAGAGAGAGAGAGAGGAGAGAGAGAGAGAGAGAGAGAGAGAGAGAGAGAGAGGGAGAGGAAGCAGCAGTGAGAAAGAGGGATGATATCATGTCGAAGCGACAGTGAATGATGGACTGCACACACAACTTCGACTGGAGAGCCTGGAGGTTTAGTTACACAGAGGCAGATAGTGTCAAGGTTGGAGTAAATGTTGTGGTGAGGAGTTCAAAATCAGGCAGTCGACATCAGGTAGACATCAAACACCGAGCAGAATTAATCTTTTCAGAAAAGAGACATTTCATGTTTTCATTTCTTTACAGTACCTCATTTAAATGTAAAACTGTAGGGTAGAATTGCATCACAGACGGTAAAAAGCCTGCCAGTACAATCTACAAAAGCTATCTACAATAATTACAGAAATCAATACGAAAACCATCAGTAAATTACCTTGTGACATGATTGATGACATTTTTCAAGTGTTATGGCAACAAAAGGACATCAGGCTTGTTTTATCTTCAAAACTAGGTTGTAATAATTTTAAGATTATATTGAGATCTGAGAAAACTCTCACACGTTCACTGAACACCACTGAAGGACAAATAAGTGTAGAACAGATCATAATATAGTTGCAGACAACATAAGACACAAATAAAAAGACAACTGTGGAGAGAAAATCAAAGAGATAACATGAACAACAATAAAACAATTTGACAATATGATTTACAGAGAATGACATAAAACAAAGCATTAAAGCATTTACTGTGCAGCACTGACAGGAGAGACAGACAGAGGAGTGAAAGAAAGAGCAGAAGACAGGGAGGAGAGGGAGATGGCAAGTTGATGAGATTTTAATGTGAAGGTCAACTTGTTATAACTCAGATCTCTATGGGAATATTAGTCCCATCATGATGCTGGAGGGGTTGAGGGGGGCGGGGCCCAAGGGGGGAGTGCGAGGCTGCTTCAGAAGAGGAAGATGGAGTGAAAGTGAGATGCCTGAGAGGTGGTTTTGCTGGTTCGACAACTACAGTATCACAGTAAATAGAGAGGTCAGCATCTTCTGTGTGTGTGTGTGTGCACATGCTTGAGATTGCACTTTTGAGAGTGAGTATGTGTGAAAGTGAGGGAGAGGGAGTGAGCGTGACAGAGAGGCGTGAGGAGGAGACAAAGCGAGATTGCATGTTTGTTTCTCAGTAGCTTTCCACAAAATCACACTTCACTTGTTCTTGTTTAATGATTGTTTCATTAAGTTTATTGCAATTTAGATTTTTCAGCAGATAAAAACAGAAGTTAACTCAACTAACAGATACATACATTATCTATTGTATTGTATTTATTGAGAGTATTGGTTAGTATTGTGTGTTGTGACATTGCATCTCAACTCACTCTGAGGCGATCAGTTGAACTGCTTTGACCTTTTACAGTTGACCACTTTTAATGGGATGCACACAATTAATGCTAATCTGTATGATTTTGCTCCCCTGGATGAAAAATGGTTATAATTATCATTATGCTGACATAGTATGCTAAAAAATCATGAAGAAGCTTAAAAGAAAAACAGATTTCTGTGGGAATCAGCCAGCTGGTTTGTGAGATAAGAACACTGAAATGGGATTATTAAACCGTATGTTTGCAGCCACCTGCCCTGCTCAGATAGTGTTTAATGACAGTGCTGCTATTATGTTTCCATGTATTGAACAGTCCCAGAGAGCCTCACTTTTAATTACGCCTAATCAATGCTGTGAGTATACGTCATTACACAGCAAAAAGCTTTATGGTATACACCACAAAAATAATAAAGTCCAACCGGAAAACATCATTAAGAGGCTAATTATCTAATACTGCACATACAGATTTCAGTAGTATGATGTCATTAGGAGCACTTTTTTGCAATGTGGAGGGGCTCGCTCAAGAAGAATAGAGAAATAAAACCCTGTGAACTAAAAAGGATGCAGCCTAAACTGTGGCAGTGATGTAAGGACGCCATCTCAGTGATAATAGAGTCAGGCATAGCGGGCATGAGCTGGGGGTGTTGGTCTACGTTAACAGTCACATTGTGCCCAATGTGTTGTTTCAGCATACAGTGGGTCATCTGTGGTCACCGGTGTGACATTCAACTGGGAGGTCAGAAGAACCTGACCGAGCTCTTCCACAGAATGCCAGTCTAACACAAATAAAAAGGCTACTCACTCAGTTTGCATCATAGTCAACACTCAGACACACACAGTGAGACAGATGTGTATGAAATGCAAAAATATTAAAAAGTGACTGTTTTGCCTGCTATGTGGCCTGTATAGCTGCTTTACTTAAACCTGACTTGTAATTGTTTGGTAAATACAGCTCCTGAAAACACATTTCTAATGAAAGATGTGGTAACCGTTTGAAATACATTGATTGTAAAGTCACACAGTATAGTACTCTATAACTATAGAAAACTAGTGTGTCAAAGCCTTTTATTCTAAAAACATGCATGCAAAAGAGACTCATTTCTACAGTACTCCTATGTCAAGGGATATGTCTTTCAAAAAACTCTAAGAAGGGAATCTACAGGAAAATACTGGCTTATTTGGATTGTTGCAACAGTTTCTGTGACTATCAAGATTGAACAAACATCAAATAGAGTGCATGACTTTAAAGGTGTCTTGGCATTTTCATGTAAACGTCAGAATTTGGATATGAGAGGTGTCTTTGAAAGCTGCTGCTAGATCTCATGTTTAAATTCTTTGTTATAAAACTACTATTAAGAGGCTTAAAAAGGTTGGTGGGATCTGTTTTCAAATGGCAGTGAGAGGCGAGGGGGCAAAGTCTGGGTTTTGGAAGGTGAAGTCCTGGAAGTCCTCCTGGTTGATGGCTGCTAGTACATCGGAGTCAGAGGGAGTGAGCACTGACGGAGCTGCTGTGAAGAACTGGTCAAAGTTTTCTCCTTTCTTCCCACCCTGATGAAGAAGAGGAGAAGATAAGCACGCTCACATTTGTGATTAATACTGATTGTACACACACCCTCATCTTCCTCCTGAAAAAGATATTAGAGAGGCCAAATTATTAAAAGACTCCACCTACGTATCTCTCTTTCTCACCCACACCATCGTTCTCTCTCCGAGGAGCTCTCTACCACACCTACTGTATGCAGAAAGTTGCTCACGTCTCCTTTCCTGCTCCTTGACAGCCGTTCTGCTGGATGATATGAATCTCATTTGGCTAATGGGCCTGGCCTCTAACCCCTGAGCATACTCAGCTCACTCAAAGCCCACCCCACCATTGGCCAGCAGGGACGCAAACTAGAGTGTAGCAGGCTAATGATGACACACATTTGCATATGGGAGGTGTAGGTAGGACCCCAAGGTCAGAAGGGTCCTGTCTGTTATGACTGGACTGTTTGTTCCTGAGCGCTCAAAGCCCTTCTCTAGGAACAGGCAGAGGTGATGAAAGAGAGAGAAAAAAGAGGGGAATAAGGGGAAAGGGGGGAAGGGACAGGGCCATTTGAACAGAGATAAGAAGAGGGGATGACATGGCCAAGACAATGAGGACAGCTGAGAGAGGATGCATGCAGGAAAATGAGGGAAAGCGTGGGAGTTTGAGAGAGAGGACACAGATGGGAGATACTGAAAGCTTCAACTCCCTAAAAGTGTCCTCGGAGAGACAGAGATAGAAATGAAGGGTAAAGAAGTGAGTGGGAGGATGGTGGAGAGAAAGAAAGAAAGAAAGAAAGAAAGAGAGAAAGAGAGAAAGAAAGGAAGACTGACAGTTCTTGGTTGGAATGGCGGTGTGATCTCCAGTCTCTCCAGACGGTCCCAGTCGAGCCAGCGGAAGAACGGATGCTCCCTGATTTCTCTCTCTGCGTCCAGTCCTCCGCCCAGACGCTTGGACGGGTGCTTGGTCAGGAGCTTAGGGAGAAAAAAGGAGAATGAAAGTGGAAAAAGGAAAGACAAATACTGTGGTTATCATGGAATATAGCGAGTTATATCTGCTCTGCTTTCAACAATTTGCATGGTAAGCTTTAAATATTATTCAACCATAATTTATTTTAAGTGTTACATTATTAAATTAATTAATTCATATTAAAATATATATTTTTTAATAATCAATGCATTTATATAAATTGTGTCTAGAACTATTTGCTCTCTTTCTGAGAATTGAAAGACTAGCGCCATACGGCTGTCCTAAGTAAGAAGCCGCAGCCTGTTAGCTTAGCTTAGCATTAACGCTGGCAACAGGGGGAAGAAGCTAGCCTGGCACTGTATAAAAAGGTAACCAAACATGAACATGTAAAACCCCCTAATTTACATTTTACATATTGTTTGCTTAATCCAGACAAAACCCAAAGTGCAAAAAACTACAAAATCTATGAAGTATTAAAGGATGTGCGGGAGTATTTCAAGGCAACAAGACTTCAAGTAGTCACTGCAACAAGCTAAAAAGTAGTCTGGCAAACGAAAAACCCTCTTTAAAAGGACATATTAAACAAACAAAAGTGTTCCTTAGTGATCTTTAGAGATGCTTAAAGAAGGATTTTGCTACTTCAGACAAAGCCAGGCTGTATTTATGCCAAACTAATGGCTCTAGCTTCATATTCAACAAACCTTTAGGAGCATGGTATCAATCTTTTCATCCAACTCTACAGACAATACATCAAAAAAAGTGTATTTCCCTAAAGGGTTGAACTATGAATCAGTCAACCATTTGCATGGCCACTTGCTGTTTTTATTTTAATAAAGTTTTCAGAATAACATATGCATTTATACTTAATTGTCTGTGTGTTAAAATTAGATGAGTACAAAGAATGGTAACTCACTCCCTTGCAGATAGCGACAGCTTCACGAGTGAGACTTTTCGGGTATATGACGCTTTGTTCCATGATGGACTGAAACAGCTCCTCCTCATCGATACCATCAAAGGGTGGCTGGAAGGAAAAGATGGGGAGAGAAGAAGAGAGAGAGAGAAACCATGAGGACCTGCGAGCAAATTGAAAGCAAATACATTGAAATGAAAGTTCTCTTGAAAGTCTTTTGAAGTGATTACAAAGGAAAGCACTGGAGGCGTAAGTGTCTGTGCACACGGCTCTATTGTCAGGATTAAGATGAGTGTTACCTGTCCTGCCAGCATTTCATACAGCAGTACTCCAAAAGACCACCAGTCCACTGCTTTATCATAGGGCTGATATGCCACAATCTGCAAAGGATGGAGAGAACAGGAGAGGAGATAAAGGGGAAGAATGGCAGTGCAGAGATAAGGAAGTAGAAAGAGGACGGGGAGAGTGAGAGAAAGCGCAGTTGTGGAAGTCCGCTGCTCGGATGATATGCAGCTATCAGAGACAGCCGCAGTAAAATAAGCAGAGAGAGAGAGGAAAGTATGGCATTAGGGAGGGTAAATGTAGGAATGAGCTCAGAAATAATCGTGTTTGTCTGCACGTGTGTGTTGGTTTGTTTGTTTGTTTGTTTCACTGGTGTGGGTGCGGGGGGGTATACGAGGGAACAATTTCCAGCCCCTAGGGAAATGTATTGTATCTCTTCCAAAATGGCAGATGCAGTAGAATCAATGGGTGTTTACATAAGAGAGTCAATACCCAGAGGTACAATAGAAAGGTTTACAATATCAAAGACGTGCACAACAGTCACATCTTGTCTTTTTGAGTCACTTTACTATACATATATAAACCAAGCATGCTGGATATCTCCTCTCTTTCTCTGATTTGTATTTGTTTACTTCATTTAACGCACACACACATATTTCAAACAATCTGTAAGGCAAACATTAGAAAGCATGCAGGCCTAATATTTAGCATTTCAAAAGGTTGTTAACTAAACCACCTCCGACTGTTTTCTATTAAAAATGTGCATTATCATCAACAAAATCCTTTTAAAATGAGTTCAGTGGTTTGCAATACTCTCGGGGGAGTTAATCAACTTAAGTCAATTGCGGTAAAAGAAAGGGGAAAAACTGGTAAACCAAGGTCTCTGAAGGACAATCGTGAATTTGTGAACAAGCACACACCATGCTAATTGAATCATGTGAAGCTAATTATTCAAAAATGCAGACAAGGTCAGCAAGGACGGAGGAGACGAGAGGAGCTGCAGCGAAGCAACTCTCAGCGACGCAAAACAGGTCAAGAAAATGAAACAGGGAAGACGGGGGTGAAAAGAGGGATCTAAGGAGCAAAAAACGGATGTTCAGGAGTTAGTCTGGACCATGACGTGAGAGCAGGGGTACCTCAGGGGCGATGTAGTCTGGGGTGCCGCAGAACGTCTGCGTGGTGTCGCCCTGGAACATGCCCTCCCTGCACATCCCGAAGTCAGCTATCTTTATGTGGCCCTCGCTGTCAAGCAGCACATTATCCAGCTTGAGATCCCTGAGAAAGGAGGAGACAGACCACACAGGTAGGAATCATGTTGATAGATAACATTTTTATAAAAGTCATTAGCTACAAAAGACATGATCAATCTGTGTTACGCCTGTGTGACAGTGGCAGGGCCAAACCAGGCCGTGTTAGATGAGCAGTGCTCTCTCTACCTGTAGATGATGCCTTTGCTGTGGAGGAAGAACAGGCCGACCGCTATCTCGCCTGCATAAAACCTGGAGGCAGAAGAGAGGGAGAAGGGTCTTACTACTGGTTGCTTTATCTTGCCGAAAATTGGCCAAGGTTTTTCTGCGGAAGGGAGCTCAAGAGGGTGATGAAAGAGAGAGAAACCAAATAAATGAAAGGCTGGAAGATGAAGAAAGAGAGTTGAAAATGAACAACAGGGTAAAAACAGTTTCAGAGGATTGATCAAAGATGATTGATTAGATGAACAGCCGGTTGGGAACATGTAGATGAAAAGATGAGATTTGTGGGAGGAGAAAATCAGGGGAAAGGAAAAAGGCTGGTACTTGAGTTGATGATTTTTTACGAGTCATCAGTTGTAATGAACAAAGCGTAGCGACGAGTGTGTATGTGAGGGAACATTGGAGGATAAAAGAAAGGGCGAAATGGAGCCGGAGATGAGATGAAGAACGTGATTAAAGGTGAAAGAAAGGAGCTTTGATTCTACATACGCTGCGTGAGGCTCTTTGAACTTCCCGACTATCTGAATGTGAAACATCAGATCTCCTCCGTCGACGTATTCCATCACATAATACAGACGGTCCTGCAGAAACAAAACACACACACGCTTATACACACTCTCCATATATAATCCCCTCTTGTCCAAATGAAAAAGCAATCTGTTAAAACCTCCTCCAGGACCAGGGACCTTGTTAAAGAAAGCAAACTAATTATTTAATTTAATAATCAACATTCTCAAGCAGCCTTTGCTGAAGAAACTCCTGGGAGGATTACGCAGCAAATGTCAGGCAGGTTTATGGACAATTTAATTATGTGGATCATTTAGGACCTTGTATATCTTTCCACACACACAGACCTACACACACCTCAGTCTGGAAGGCGCAGTACAGCGATGTGAGGAAGTGAGGGCGGGTGGAAAGCGCCAGAACCCTCCTCTCCACCATGGCGCTCTCCGTGTCTTCGTCCTGGAAGAGAACGTCTTTTTTCAACACTTTCACGGCGAACAGACGCTCGCTGCCTCGCTCCTCTGCCAGCAGCACCTGCACAAAGAGGAGAGAAAGTTACGCTAAAAACCAAGAATCTTGAAGCAGAAACATCACGTCTTTCGCATGCTTGAGTCTGTAAATAAACACAGAGCTTATTTATAGACAACACTACACCCGCTGTGTGCTAAAAAAACATTTAAGAATTCCAAATTCCCTTTTTTAAGATTCCTCACCCTTAGCAGTTAAGTACTGTACTGCCTGTACAGAACATTTTTTAGGTCATTGTGTTATGAGTGACATGTTGCTCTACTTAGGAAAAACCTAGTTCTGCTGTTTTAATAAAGATGATGTGCTTTTGAGGCACATTTGCTTTGAGCTTGAAATGTATGATTCTGCTAGGGAAGAAATTGTATAAAGTGCTGGTTATTAAAATACGCACTTACTAGAAAGTAAAATAGTAGAAGAGAAAAAAGATAAGTTATCATGTTGTGCTTGCTTTGGCATGTTCAATACTGTGCAAATGCCCCCCAATAGTGACATAACAGTTTTTAATTAAAGCTGCTCTATGCCAGAAGATTTCAAGACATGTCAATGTTATGAATGAAAAAGCGAAGTGGCTCTCGTGTTTTTACCAGACATTCAAAACACATTCATCTCCGATTTTCTCCCTTCTTTTAAATTGGCTGCTAGCGGGTTGCTCTGAGATCTAATGATACTATAATTGTCTACAATGAGAGCCCTATGATCCGGGTTTCACTGTGGTTCAAGGAAAGATATGGTCAAGGGCACTGGAAAAATATTGACAACAACACTCTCTGAAATTGTCGGCCACCGGCTCGTGGGGTGTAAGGAGGACCTCATTAAACTTTCAAATAGTGATGAGAAGTAGAGAAAATTACCATGGTGTCATTTTTCGGAAATGAATGTGACTACACACTGTTGCTTTTGAAGAACAATATGTGTGTGTGTGTGTGTGTGTGTGTGTGTGTGTCACTAATAAACTGCCAGTCAAGAGAAATCCTGTCGTCCTCTGTGATCTTGTTTCCTGCTCTTCCCCGCTCTCTCAAACTTACTCGCATAAAAATAGGACTCGTCACACTTCTGAATATTACATGTCTTACTAACACAATCGCATGTCCTTTTTCCTCTTCTCCGCTCTTGTTATCCCACTTCCTCTTGGTCATTGTGTCACTTTCCGCAGCACAGTAATCCTCCCACTTCCTCTCTATCTGTGTCTCACTATCCCTCACTCAGCAGCCCCGGGGTCTGTCTCTCCTTTTCTTGGGTCGTTTTTTTTCCCCTCACATCTTACGTAAGTCGAGTCTATTTCTCATGTCCTCTGTAGACTCTCCTCTGACAGTTACGAAACAGCACAGGGGGATTTCAGAGGAAGTGGAAGGACTCAAAACTCCTCTCTCTTCATTATGCCTCATCTACTGGGGAATTAAAGAGAAAATGAAGAGCACAGGCTCCCTGAACATGGACACCTCCAGGAAGACTGTGTGGCATGTAGGATGCCAGCCAGCTCCAGCTCACGACTGCTGACAGAACAAAAGAAGCTAAGGGTTAAATGAATCATTTGGCAGAAGTGAGAGAGACAATGAGCATGTTAGTGAGAACCTTTTTCTTCTCCAAAGACAGAAATTCCTCTCAGGAGCTGCTCTGTGAAATGCCAGCTGAAGGTCAAGTCCATCAATAGAAGAAATGATTTAAAGCCAGGAATAATCTTTGTTGATTTCAGCATGATCGACCTCTTTGAAGTCACCTATAGCTGTTGGGTCAGAGGATTGTGGGTAGATAAGAGGACAGTGTGTCGTGGCTGCTGTGTTTACCTTGCCAAAGCTGCCTTTTCCCAGCACCATGAGGAAGTTGAAGTCCAGGATGCCCACTTGGACTTTGGCAGGGCCGGGGGCGTGGACGGGGGGGCCGGATGGGACAGAGGCCGGCGACAGGGCCACAAGGAACGTCTCAGACAGCGAAGGGGGGAGGGCATGAGGCAGAGAGGGTAGTATGCCGTCTGGCTGAGGCTCCTGGAGGATCACAGGGGGAGAGTTCAGACATGAATGGTTGGAAGCAGTCCAGCACAAAGAAAAACGTACAAACTACCCCCAAGTTTAGCATCACGGTACGGCAGGACAACCCTGCACCCTGGTGGAGGCTGAGGGTAACAGGGAGGGGAGTGGACCCTATATAATTTATTATCTAATCATCTAGCTTTAACTACAGGCATACATCTTACAGGGTTTTTTTCTCACATAGAATAGAGAAGAAGAGTTCAAGATCCTGACCCAGTGTGAGCAGTGGCAGCTGTTGTTTATTATATCGAGCAAATTAGAAGATGATGAATGGCAATGATAAAGACATAAACGGCTGCTGCCCTCTGTTGAATACAGTAATAAATATGTCTTGTACATCTTGGTCAATATGGGAGATCAAGGGATTTTGTACTCTTTTTTGTCCGTCCTGGGGTAAGCCTCCTACCTGGAGGTCTGGGTCTGGCACTGGGATGTTATAGTACTCTCCTTCATCTTCGGCCAGCAGTTTGAACCAGCCGCTGATGGGACGCCTGAAGATCTCACTCACTCCGAATGACAGCGCTCCCATGAAATCGTTCCTAGACGTGCGGTCCCAGTCCCACACCTCCACAGACAGACGCCTGTCCCACTGGGTACCGCGCACTGAGCTGGAGACAAACACAACAACTCTAAATCACTGGGGAGGGCTGTGTAAGCAACACACCAATGCACAAAGACACAGATTGTTTTTCTAATTTTTTTACCTTCATGACTTCTTGGCAATTTCCAAATATCTCATTTTCACAGCACACAAGAATCATGCAAAGGTAAAGAGAGTTAAATCAGTGATGTTAAATAAGGAGCATACACTCAGGCACCATCAACCTTACATTCAACACTCCTACCTGTGTCTTTACGTGTCCTTTGTTTGACTCAGTAAATCTTATTTCTAGGACATTTTATTTGATCTAAAGCACGTTTTGTCCCAGACTTGTGTATGTTTTCCACCTTCAATTAAAGTTGGCAAGGACTCACAAGGTGAAACTCTCATTCCAGATGGGATTGAGTGTTGAGCGGATGGTCTTTGTCTTCTGTTTGCTGTGGCTCTTCGGGTCTGGAATCAATTTCAGTTTAACATACGGGTCTGACAGGCCGTTTGGATCCATGGGCATCAGGTTACGAGCCTCCCGCACTGAAGACAAAAGTAGAATAATGGAAAAGCACGAACAGAGAAATCCTTCATTGTCTGTGTAATCCTACTATTTGTTTTAAAATGATCCAGCTGGTCCTCTCACCTGTGACGAAGACATCCTCCTTCTCTCCTCTCACAGTCAGGTGGATCCTCCCCCTCTGCTCTGTGTGGTCCTCACCACAGAGACTGGGAACACTGGCCTCACACCGCCGATGGACGTTCATGTCACAACCTCAAGGACAAACAAACAAGAATAAACAAACATATGCAGGGAAAACTGAAATTAGGCACATATTAATAAGACCAGAATGATGTTTCCTGTTAAATAAAGGTGAAACATCTTTATTTTTATATATTTTATACATGCATATACATCTTGTTTTTGTTACTTTGGAAGATTAGATGTTGCCCTGACTAGTATTTAATTTCCTTGACATTAACTCTAACCATTACTGCTGCATCTACATGCCTAACAACCTCCATCGTAACACTTAAACAGTTGTATTTGCATACTTAACTATAGTTAGATACAATTGATAAAACTGTCATGAGTTACCTGTATTTACATGGTCTACACCCATAATCTAGTTTATTTAAGCATGAAGCATTGAAAAAAGGGGGACACAGCTAACCTGCCTCTGTCTCACAGTAGCAAATAAAAAGCTTTAATAATGGTCTAATTTGATATCATTTGCTTCAAGGGCACAACAGCAGTTGTGAGAGAGGGTCTATCTCTTAGCCAGGCAGACTCTCTTCTTGGAGTCTCCAGTGGCTGCAAATCCCCTCATCTAATTTTCTGCAGGAAAGTGAATAAGCATATTTCCCCAAACTACCCGAAACATAAACTTAACAAAGTCAACTCCACATTGTGGAGGCTAATTTAGTCAAGACCAGCTTTATTTCCCCAGCTGGGAGGCTACGAGTAACAAGAATGTGCCTGTGTGAACTTATTCTTATCGCCACAACATAACAAATACAAGAATGCTCGGATTCATGGCACTGTGACGTGTGGTGAAACTCACTGCTACATTTCATGCCCTGGTGTATCAAGCCGTACAGCAGCGAGCCACAGTGGTCGCAGAAGGTGGGACTGGAGTAAGTCTGGACCTTAAATGTGTGTTGACTTGCCAGATCCTGCAACACAACAGAAACAATCTGCATTGAGAACACGCACACAAACACATATACACACTGCATGACCAGATACTGCAAACACGCACACATTTACACACATGCATGCACGGGTATGATAAGTGGAGAGATGTTGAGTGGGGTATTCATGGTCGAGCCAATTAGATTTCTCCACTGGGAGAAGACATATAAATGATAGTGCATCTAGGCAAGGCTGCGTGTGAGTGTGTGTGTGTGTGTGTGTGTACACTGTGCAGAGAGGGATGAATCATTTTTATCTCTCCACAGCTCATCAGACCCCACCACCACCACCCTCTCCACACACCACCTTCTCCCAAACAGTTTTCCCTCTGAGCAGCTATTTAAAATCACCATCACCCTGTTTCTCCTCTGCGTGTGAGCGCTTCATGCTCTCATCCTCTAACACACATACACACAGTCACACACACGGTCCCCTTGACCTCATTTCTAAGTATATTTGGCGGGCAGAAAAGAAAAGGCAAATCTCCCTGAAATCCTCAAAATGCCACAGAGAGGAAGACTGAGCAGTCTTTTGCTCTCCCTTTCTCTAATTCCCCCTCTTATCAGCCCCTCCGCCTTTATCTCCCCCACTCTCTATCTCCAACTCGCTGCATCTCTGAAGCCTTGCAGGATGACATGACATGAGTGCAGACGTCACAGATGGGACAAGGCTGTGCGATTTGAAGGATGCATAGATTGACGGGTGAGTCACGCACACGTGTTCCTGTCACTGAGTGGATGGTTAAATGTGATGATGACGGGCTAAATCATGAATAAAGTGCAACAAAAAAAAGGATGTAAGCGGAAAAGGAAAGTCATATATTTTCTGGCACATCTGCTTACATCTGGTTGTGGGCCCGCCACAGAGCCGGGGCAAGTGAAGGTCACTAATTCGTGACATCTTTTGTGGACCACAAAACTGCAAACTAGGGGAAAACACAGAGAAAAATATCTCTACTATAGAAGCAGTCACACCGAAAACATTATCTGAGAAGATTTAATACCGTGGAAAGAGACAATAACACTGGATTTATTTTATTTATCTCTACCTTGACATTGGAATCCCTGTTTGCCGATGCCCCTGAGTGAAAAAAGAACATTGATTAAGACTCAAACACAATCTTCCCTTCTTCTCTTTAAGGTGAAATATTTTGCTTCTGAGACTGTCTGCCAGCCCAGAGTATAGATTAAGCTGCCAAGACAGGGACAGAGGTAATGCAGTTGAATTTTTCCATTCTGTATTAAGACCAACAGACATGCAAGCACAAGTTGAGAACAAAGGCTTTCTCATCAAAAAAACTAAATTTGATAAACAAGTAATTATGTTTGAAGTTTAGGTCTAGGCCACACTGCGGACCAGGTCAAGTGGTGTCAATCAATATCTCACACAAACACATACACACACAAACACGCACACACACTGCTCTTGTTTCCAGAACTGCGGTGTTGGCTAGTTTCCAGTGTCTCCTTAGAGCTTTAATTGAATAATTAAAGCCATTGATTGACTAAAGAGTCCACTCAGCGGCTTTCTTGCTGTGAATCCAGTTTTGATTAGCAGGCAGAAGAACAAGCTCCTCCACAATCATACTGGAGAGGCCCAGGGGTTCATAGGAAACGGACCATAATCCCTGATCTAAAATCAGTTCAACATCTGCCTAGTAGTAACAATTATAGACGGGGTGGCAGAGGGTAATCTGATCCTTGATCAGAAGTCTCCGTCTGCAGCAGTCTTCTTTTTGACCAGCAGAGAGCATTAGAGAGCCAGGTATGGATGTGGAGAGAATCAACAGTTTAAGCTTGCTAGCCATATATCACAAGGAATTCAATGCATATTAAATTTAATGATGCATTGAAAAACCCATAAAATTAAATATAATAGTTGCTATTAAAAAAAAACATCATAAAAATCCTATAAAACCAACCAGAATATTAAAAAACTGGAAAACGAAATATTTAATGAAAAGGTGCAAATAATGTTAAGACAAATTCAAATCCACCTTACAAAGCAGAGAAAAACCTGAACCTTGTCTTTGTAAAAGGCCTTTCCCAGATATTTTATGTCGGAGCATATCATTAATGCTAAGTTAAATTAAGCTGTTACAGTTACAGGTATTATTATTGCTGCTCCACTGGCACACTGTCCTGGCTTATTGGGTTATTTTAATCCATATAAAGAGTCATTGTTCATTTTAGTGTTTGCACCACCACATGCTTTTCCTACAATGACAAGTCAAAAATGCCTGCTGTGAAAGAGGCCTGTCAGCTGTCTACAGTATATAGGTCAGTCTTAAGTACACCTTGCCTTAAGAGATTTTTTGTGTAGGGTTTAATGTTTTTTACTTATGACCCTGAGAAGAGCCGGACTCAAAACACACATTGGATTAAACACCAGTGTCACTTTTTTCCATTGAGGACTATATCAATTAATTCATACTGAGAGGAACTATACAAGAGACAACCCATTCAATTTTAGAGACTGACTTAATAAACTAGATATTTACATTTCAAAATTAGAACTACCTTTAATTAGTCTTTAATTAATCCACCAATCTCCCCAGGGTCTGTGTCACCCAGGGTGAGAGCTGCTGCTCTGACATCCTGCGTGAACGAAAAGTTCTCCCTTAAACTGAGCGCTACGACGTGCAAGCCAGTTGGAGAAATGTTCTGAAAGCTACCCAGAGGCTGTTGGCATAAGCACAGCCCTGCATCCAACATACACTCCCACCATATGTTCAAAAACACAAGCACATACACACCACGAACACACACACACACACACACACAACACACACACACACACACACACACACACACACACACACACACACACACACACACACACACACACACACACACACACACACACACACACACACACACACACACACACACACACACACACACACACACACACACACACACACACACACACACACACACACACACACACACACACACACACAATATACTCGAGTACTGTGAACTGGTATTTTGTTCAGCTATTCATTTTTCTTTTCTTTTATAATACTGCCTAGCCGCTAATTGTCAGAATATGTTATCATCTGCATTCAGCTATAAATACTTTGCTGATTAAATGGGATACAAAGAATCCCTGTCCTGTAATCATTGTGTACTTTTTATGAACAAAGCAGAACTTTTTTCAGACTTGTGACAATGCATTTATTCAACCATCCTATTTTCTATTTCTGTCACGATTTCTCCCTTCATTACCACATGCTTTATATCGCGTAAGAAGCAAATTACTTTTTTAAACCCACAAAGGAGCACTAAATCATTCAGTTGATCTGAAAAATAGAAAATCAACACATTTGAAGATAAGCTGTTTTCACTGAACAGTGATGAGTGTAAGCTCCAGCAGTTTATAAAATATTTACTGATCTAGCCATACCTTGAGCAACCACAACAACTAATTACTACTTCCATATAAACACACAACACATTGAAATCATTTTTATATAAAGCAATTATTTTTTCATGGATTCCACATTCAAAGTGTATCCACTGTTTTATGCATGGCAGTTCAGTTTATTCTAAACAAAGAGTACTACTCAGCCTTTGAAATAGTTTAATAAGGTTTATGTGGCCCTGGAAGAGCTTTCCAAAGACTAAAATATAATGCTAATGGTGGTGGTACCATGGTGGTACCATGGGTGCTGATGAGCACATGAGGCCAAAAGGGTTCATCTTCCAGGTACAGAAAACCCTGATCTTCTGATGATCTTATGAATATTCTTAAACCCTGCACACCGGAGGCTGAGTCTTGGCTCATTTATGACCAGAGGAAGGGAATAACTCTGGTTCCCACTGTTAGAACATTTTATGACCTTTAGATGAGGGCTTTACAAGTGTTCATACTCGGAAGTTGATTAAACATCAAATAAAACATCATATATACAGACTTTTATTTAGCAATAAAAGTCAATATGTCCCGTTGTCATCATGTGATAGACCTCAAAGTAGTAATTTAACAGTTTGGCCATAACAAAAATTGGCTACTAAGCCAGGCTCTCTTCCTGGATGGCTTGGACAGGACCCAATGAAAGAAGAAACTGAGATGCTTTATGGGAATGTATAGAGCGTTGTTCATATATTACAGAGTAAAAGCCAGAATATCTTATTGAGTTCTGACTATTATTGTTGTATTCTGTACCTTGTGATTCCCACAACTTTATTGAAGTGATACATCAAAGAGGGCCCCGCAGGATCTGAATAATTCCTACTTTACTGCTGCCTGTGAGTGTGTTTGTACATTTTTGCATACTGCTACTCTGTGTGCAGGCATTCACACTGAGAAGGAAAGCTCTTTCCTAATTAAAGTTGTACTTGTGTGTATATATATATATATATATATATGCCTGACTCCTGTGTTGTGTAGACTGCAGTGTGGAGATGAGGTTATGTATATGTTCAGGTCACTGTGGCTTAACAGTGTAGGATGTTTCTCCAGCATGCAGCTGGATCTGGTGAAAGAGAAAAAGTGCCAGGAAAGTCAGAGTCAGAAGGAGTAGTGGGATGCCTGAGGAGGCGGCTTATCAACTGCCAGGTCGCTCTCTGTGTAAATGTGTGTGTGAGTGTGAGTTTGTGTGTGTGTTACCAGATGAAGTCGGTGCAGTGGCTGCAGAAGGTGGGCTGTTTGAAGAAGCGGGCCGTGAACTGGTGGTCTTTCACCTCCACAATCCTCTTATGTTTGAGCGCTCCCTTCCTCTGGAACACAGGCACTCTTGGTGGAGGGGAGAGGGGCGAGGGCAGCGGGGGGGTCGCCGATGTAGGGGAGGCCAGCGCCAACGGGGAGAGGGATGGGGAAGGGGAGACCGGGGTCGACATGATGCCTGGAGGGTACGGTGGAAAAAAAGGAGAGAAGGAAGGAGAGGGGGAGAATGCTTGATGAGTGTCAGTAAGGAAGGTTCAGAGTTGTACAGGCGAAAGACCTTGAACATCGGAGAGGGAGGAGTGGAGGAAGCAAGGACAGGGTGGAGGAGCGGGAGGAAAGTGAGATGGGTCATAGAGTTGTATTAATGGCACATGGGACAGAGCAAGCAGTGAAGGAGTGACATGAAGGAGAGAAAGATCGAGAACCGACCGGAAGTGCAGAATAAGATAGAGAGCGCTCAGGGAAAGCGGCAGGAGTGAGAGGGACGAAGGAATAAAGAGGTGTAATGATGAAGGCATGGAGGTTAATTCACCAACGGAGACAGAGCTCTCCTAAGAGACTCCGAGACGCTAAACGATTAGAGCGGCTCGCTGTGTGTCCCACATACCACCTGTCCATAACTACCTTTCCCTCTCGCTGTACCCCCTATATCTACATCCCCCTGGCAGCTATGACTACCCACCCCACCCTCTAGTCGTCATGTTAACTGTACCTCCTGTTGCCATGTCAACAACACCCCCACCACCTGCTCCAATAATAGAGCCTGAATCCCATCTTGACTTCCTGCCTGGCCTTATTAGCAATTAGTCCCATTTCTGAAATAAAGTTCGGACTAGAATAAAATGTGAATGTCTATAGGGGATATGATACGCTGGGAAAAAGTGCACAACGGCAAATATTAGCTGGAGATACTGTGGTGCAAGAGTTGCATGCTACTAAATGATAAATGAAACACCAACAGTTTTAATGAATAAATAAAAAAGCCCATAGCAAAAAATATACCCATGCCATGATGAAAGGATGGTGTTTCAGCAGAGAAGTAGAAGCCAATCAATCAAAAGGGTGAAAGAGGAGAATGGTACAAAAATATGAAGTGCTCAAAAATGTGCAAAATGACAAGAAGGAAAATATTTTCTGAAAATGTGCACATATGGTGAAGATAACAAAGACACAATACCTGGAGATTTGTGGTGGCTTTAGAGGAAAGGCAGCTTCCTTCTCTTCCTCTCTCCCTTTCTTCTCCTCACTTCAAAAGAAATGCTAAGGTGTCCCACCTGTTGCTGGTCACCTCAAAAAAAGAGAAATACAGGAAAGAAAATACCCAGAAAGCAGTACTTTGGCTACAAGAAAGAAATCAACCAGGGAAAAAAAGAAAACAGAAAAGAAAATCCTGTTACAACAAAAAGCGAAAGCAACAAGCGTTTCAGGAGATTCGAGCTCTCTAGGAACCAAAGATAGAAGAGTGAAGTGATATATATCCGTTAACCCAGAGGCAGGGTGAGGAGGAGGACGAGATAGAGAGGTGGTATTCTCTTTCCAAGATTGATTCTGTTTAACTAAGAAGAGGACAAGAGATGGAGAGAGTAAGAAAAAGAGAGAGAGGGAGAGAGAGAGAGAGGAGAAAGAGAGATAGAAAGAGAGAGAGGAGAAAGATTGAGGGGAACAGGCAGTGATTCATTTTGAAATCTGGGTTACTTCTCTCAGGAGAGGGTAGGGAGTTAGAGGAAGGAGGACGGATGACAGAAGCTGCCATTTTGCCACCACCAATACAGTATGGACACGGGAGCGCCAACTGTCTCTCACTTCCTCTAGTGCCAGACGGGAGGGAGGAAAAGAAGAGGAGAGAGAGATAGAGGGAGAGTATCCAGTCTGGCAGAAAAGAGCAGAAAGATTCAGAGGTCGAGAGTCAGAGAAATCTCTAATTAAGCACAGCTAAAACGTGAATTAATTGGTTAAAAGTCATGGAGTTCGCAGCAGATCCAGATGACTGAAGGATCAACAGGCCTGTGAAATAAGCAACCCTGTTAATCTTTTCTGCAACAGTGCGTTTAACAGTGTGTTCACCACATCTGAAGTTTGTTCTGATATCACAGCAAGTGGTGACATGATAACACTGATCCACTGTGCACTGAAACCAGGTCAGCTAAGCCTGATGGGAAGAGTAGTTTCCAAGAGAGAGGGGATGTTTGTCCATTGATGGTACTCACACAAACACAAACCTACACCTACAAACACATACTGGACGACAACATTTGTTGACATTTTGGGAGATACACTCACTATATTTATGATTTGCAGAGAATAATTCCATACTCATGTTGGTAGCTGAAATGTGTAGCGATGGCCAGAAGTTGGGAAGCTTATCAATTGGCTATAGGCTGGCTTGATCTGAATTGGGTAAAAAATGTCTACCATCATCTCTAAAGCTCACAGATTTACATGTTATGGTGTTGTTTTTTATTCTTGTAAAATGTTAAAAGTGTAAAAACAACAATTTGCTATTTTTCAGCTCAGTTTTATGCCACACTATGTATTGGCCAGGACCAGTTGCCAGGCAACCGTTAGAGACCTAGACTACCATAAAGTGTAAATAAGTGAGATTTAGTTTTGTTTGTAGGTAGATTTTTGTATTTCTTTTTTACCTTCTAGACAGAGCCAGAGTAGCTATTTGTAGGCCATGGTAATCTTACCAGCCAGCAGCTTCATGTTTACCATACAGACTTCAAAATGACATCATCTGTTCATCTAACTCATAGAAGGCGAAAATAAGCATTTCCCAAAATGTCAAACTATCCCTTTAATTGTCAAACTCAATGGCTTCCCTTGTGGACACGCTTATTGCCCCCAAATGGTAGCTAAGCTCCCATAAAGGCACTGTGTGGACAAATGTTTATCCCCACAATGTCAGTATTACAAGGAGGCGACACACTCACAGCCACATAATTAATCACACTGCATGTGTGCACGTGATCTATGGACAATCTCGGGAGAAGAGAGCAGCAGGCGGGAGCAGGGATGCAGGCATGCGGAGGACGAAGGGGTGGATTGGAGTGGGACGCAGAGACTGAGAGAGGGAGCGAAGGGTTGAAGGTCTAATTAATGGAAATGTAGGTTATTAGTCTCCTGATGAGGACACTGGCAGAGAATTAATTAACAATTATAATTAGCAAGATTGTTAGAGAGCAAAATGGTGTCAGCCAGCAAGATAAGAATGAGCTAGCATAACAGTGTGTGTGTGAGTGTGTGTGTGTGTGTGTGTGTGTATTGGACATGGTCATTATTACTGTATGTTAAAAAAAACAGCTGTGTGAACATGCCCTATCTGACAATGATATGTCATTTCAGCATAAGTGATGCGGAACAAGCAGCTGATTGGAAAGGATAAGGGGCTTTTACCATCACCAGACTTTTCTAGAACGAAAATCAATGTCATCAATTTCGGACCAATAAGACTGCCATCACTCTTATCTTGGTAGAGACGTGTTTTTGTTATGTTGTCACAAATAAATGAGGTAGATCTCATCACAGTGAGAAAGAGAAAGAGAGAGGGGGGGTTCCTAGAAATAAGAGTTTGTAGACCTCGCATTCCTTAGTAATCAGTGCATTGATAAACAAAGCACATGCTTCCCTCCCTTGCGTTGTGATGAGTAAGCACTTGTGGCTCTAAAGTGTCTGTATCAGTGTGCATTTGCCATAAAAGCGAGCTAGTGTGCAGAGCCAATGATACATTAAGGCTGTAAACTACAAAGATGTACACACACAGCAGAATGAAAACCACACAGATGCAGCCCGCAAGATTAACAGCAGAAGTAAAACCCTATAAAACAGAGAACGAAGCTGAGATCAAATGAAATATATGGATGACAACAGGGGAAAAAAGGAAAACAAGGATGAATCAATGAACATGGCACCACTTTAACACTACAATCTGTCTTTACAATAATCACTATTAACAAACAGTATACTGGAAGCAGTTCATTTCTGATCAGGAGCACCTTTCATATACCCCAGCCCCCGCTCTTTTCTCTCTCAGTCTACAGGTGGCTATTTTATTATTTCTGACCATGGCTTAATGAAACAGAAGATTCTCCTCCGATGGAATCTTTTTGGGGGAGCAATCAACACTTCACCAATTACATGCATCCATTATCACCTAACGAGTGCTCACTCGCATCAAGCAGCGGCTTCAACCTGGCTTGCTGGCTTTCTCCTCCAATGAAATTAAGGTAATTTGACTTGCCTAACTGTTGTTTGTGGAATCAGGGGAGAAGTGGTAATCATATCTGCCTGTTACATTTGTCTTTTCAAAACCAATTAGCTAAGTTAGCTTACACTGGTTTTCTATTGCTGTGTACTTATATTTGCCTCTTTAATGAAGAGTGATCTGCTGTATTTTTGGAAGAGCGCAACAAACCTACACACCAGTCAGATGTGACACTTGGCAAGCTTATCAACATGGCCTACACACTCTCAGAACTGAAGCAAACAAGCCTGCTCTCCATATTTATTTTACTGCTGACCTTCCTCTCATTGCAAACAAATACTGCTAAAATGGAAAACCATACAGACAAGTGAGGGACAGTCTTGTGCACTTAATCAAATCAATCAGATAAAATAATGGATTTTGGCTATAGAGTATGGCTCAGGAGGGACATCTACTCATCTAGGAGCATCTAAAGCCTGAGAATCATTTCATGCACTTCAGTTTAGTGTCAGGCATTATGTTAATGCCCGATGAGTCAATAACCTATTAGACACTTTCCCTGTTTTCTTTAAGTACCACCACCTGTGTTGAATGTTTTCAGCCTGCTGAATGACTATCAATTGTTATCCCTAGTATTGTAATGGTTTAGACAGGGCAAACTGCATCACCTGCACCTCGAGAAATTAAGTGTGAGGTATCACTATTCTTTAATGTTGCTTCAATATAGTGCTTCCTCTCATCATTGCTCCAGACTGTGTTTGGTTATAAATTGTACATTGTGTGGAGGAAAATGTCTGCTGTTTGGTGTATCCCCTGGCATATTTTGTTATTAATATGATCCAGTTTTGGCTTTTTTACCTGGAAACTTTTTTGGTGGTCCTTTTTTGACAAACTGGAGTGTACACCATAGCAACACATGAGCAAATAATTGTCTAATTACGCATCAAGCGCTAGACTTGTGTTTCTGGCCCTCCTGATTCGTTTTAGTACAATATCTGTTTCTGTCTCCACTAACTCCTGATGGAAATATCTCTTTAACAGCTAAATGCTCCAACAGCATTTGTTTTGTTTTGTAATTATTTATTTTACCTGTTTGAAATAAATGTATCAATCAATCAAAACAGCTGCAACATTTGTAGAGCTTTGCAGGCCGTAAAAAAACCAAATAGCTGAAGGACACTTAAACGCTCAATAGAGCTGAGGGGATCTCAGGGTTGGCTGAAGATTCTCATTGGGTTCAGGTGATCAACTTTTTATATAAAACGTATTGATTAACGCCGCTTGATAAGTTATCAATATTTCATGATTTTGTATATTTTACCCAAAATAAAACCCTTGTTTGGCAGATCCCATGTCTATCGAGGGCTAAGCCTGGAGTATGATTAGTTCAGGACCAGGTCAAGACAATAGATCATCAACTAACATGAACAAAACAGTGATGTGTGCTAAAATGTGTTACCATTCACAGTATGTTCAAAAATACTGACAAGAACTCAAAGCCTCAGCTGTAGGATGCAAAACCTTTGTTACTGCTGCAGGCAGGAAGACAGGGCTGTGAACTGAATGTGCTCAGGGGGAAGAACGAAAGCAGGAGGGCCGGAGATTCAGGGTAAAAGGGGCAAATAGATAATGAGGCGAGGGGAGAACAAGGTAAAGTCTGAGGATATATTAAACTTCATCCCAGTTATCCAGGATGAATTCCCTTTGGGTCAGTGCCATTACACATGCCTGTAGGTACGCCCACACACACACACACACACACACACACACACACACACACACACACACACACACCACACACACACACACACACACACACACACACACACACACACACAGACAGACAGACAGACAGACAGACAGACAGACAGACAGACAGACAGACAGACACACACACACTGGCAAACAAGGATGTGGTATAAATAAATGGTGTCCTACAGTAGATGTGGTGGTAATGTTTGTCCAAACATACTGGCCACAGCACACAGTAAACTTGTGTCCTTTTGATGTTACCTCTTCATCTCAATGACACAAAGCTTCAACATGACATACACATAAAGTAGAACAAATGGTTACCTACATTGGAGCTAAACTGATTTGTCCAATAACTGTTCAGTTAACTCATAAGCGTATTAGCAATAGATGATCTATTTCAACTTTTTAAGCAACATTTCCAAACTTTCTCTGGCTCCAGGTTTTGTAATGTGTTTGGGCTCCTTGGGTTTTAGGGAATTGTTATTGGGATGTTTTCAATATTTTGTCATGTTATTGAAACAAAACAAATCAATAAAATATTCATATTGATGATGACAATAATTCTAAGATACATCCCTAGTCTACATCATTTTTTGATAATTAACTAAAATATTTGATGTATCTCTTTGCTGGGGCACGATGAACCACATGAGCATTGTGTACAATGAGTACAACAACAGGCAATAAGCTGCTTCAGTGTGTATAATGGCTTGAGTTTAAACATCTGAAGAGATCCTGGTGAACCAAAGTAAGGGTATGAATTTGCATTAATTGGGTATTTGCATTATTGTGTAAACATACTGTTCATTACAACTACTCAAACAGCCTCATATTGTTCAGCTGCTTCTGCAGGGAATAATAAAAAGCATGCCAACATGCTAGCAGACACACATGCAACAGAAACAAAAGACATGTTTGTGCACATGATCTCTCACACATGAACACACAGTGAGGTAGCTGTAGGTCAGTTAGTTCATTTGTCCCTCGTCGTGGTCCAATGTGGCGCGTGTGAAAATGGCAGAAGCAAGAGATTGGCTTTGTAGCTGAGGGAAAAAGCACGAGATGAAAGAGTGCTTCTTGGGTGTTTTTTTTCTTTAACTTCAGAGATCAAGCCGATGGGTTGTAGAACCCTGCGGCGCTGCACACATGATGAAAGGGAAACAGCTCTCCCCTTCCACATGTACTGCACGTGTGAGAGCAGTGTGTGCAGATGTACATTAATATAGATTTCTAACTACTCAGTATATTTCTTAAACATAAGAATTAAATGTAAGGAAAACAGCACAGTCAGGAAAAGAGAACCGAAAGGAACAATAGAGAAATTATCAATAAAAATGCGGTAGAGAGTGAAACCCACAGGGACAACAGAATGATTTTAAGGAAGGGATAACCAGAGATAGAGTAGAGCCGAGAATAAATGAAATGACAGAGTCAGTCAGGGGAAATAGAATTGAAAGAAAATCAAAACAGAGAGACAAAGGGGAACCTGTTATTGGCAGACTACTGAGAGAGATGGAGGGTGAGAGGTGTGCAGGAGCATAAGGGCCACTGCACTGCATAGCAAGAGACAGTGCTAGTGTCGCTAGAGAGAGACAGAATGAGATAGAGAGAGACAAAGGCATAAAGAGAGTGAAAGAAAGTGTTAAGCCCTGCACCACAGACATGCGTTACAAATCCCCAGGGACCCGGTGGCAGATCAGTACAGGATCAATCTGCTGCACCTCAGCAGGACCTCACCTCACACTCCCACACACACCACTCGTGTGTGTGTGTGTTAGTGTGTTACTGTACTGTGTGTGTGTGTGTGTGTGTGTGTGTGTGTGTGTGTGTGTGTGTGTGTGTGTGTGTGTGTGACCATGAAGAAGTGATTGAAGACTGGGAGGTGTTGTAGCAAGAGGAGAAGAAAGATGGAGGGGAAAACAATGGAGCAGGTGGGGAGTTGAACAGAGATAGATAGCTGTGTTGGGTGCAGATATTAATCAACTGACCAATCCAGATCATGCTTTTTTTTACAACTTCAATATAAAACGCATAATTGAGTAGCATTCACTAGATATAATGTACATATAATCAAATGAAAGTATTTTCCTGTATTCTATAATTCATAAAAAAGCTCTAAAGCAAATACATCACTGCTGGCATCTAACCGTTCCCAACACTAAGATAAATGATCGTATGATTGATAGGAACTCCCACGTGGGAGATCAAAGATCAGTTTATCTCCTCCACTATCCCATCACAGCCATTAGAGAGAAAGCATAACACTGACCTCAGATCAGTGTGTGGGGACCTTGATCCAACTGCCTGTAACTCAATCTTATTAGAGCGTTAAGTCATTACTGCATGTACACACAGAGGCCTCACAATGCAATTAGCCATTAGCCCATCACGCTGACAAAGCATGGCTAATTAGCAGATCGCAGGCGCATCGGGAGCAGAGCAAAACATATTTAATATCCCCATCAACACTCTTGAAGAATATCATATGTCATGTACTGTTTAGATGTTTTGTCATGCTTGGTTGAGGAAGAACTTAGTCGTATTTGTGAAGATATGTATAACTAGCTTTGAAACAGATTAAAGATTTTCCACGAAGGACGATGAAAGTTTAAACTATTTAGATTCAGTTTGTTTGTTTTTTCTGTTTTTGGATCTATTCCTTAAGACACCACAAGAAAAAACAATAACCTAAAAGGCTATTATGAAAACATTATTCAACACGGGTCAATGGATGAATTCCAGAAAAGCTGCATCAAGGTCAGGACTGTTTGAAATGCTGTTCTGATCAGCAGAAACACATCTGTTTGTTGTGGTTCTACAGAGCTGGTCAGACGGCTCGGACTCGGCCGCTGTTAGTTGAGGTTGAGAGTTGATGCAGAGTTTTAGGTGTGTTGCTCTCTTTGAGGGGGAAAGCAGTTGATTATGTTAGGTCAGCTCTGGCCAGATCAAAGCAAAAGTCTGACAAGAACCGAGAAACCTCTGAGAAATATATGCAAGCAAGCATGCACATACACACACAGAATACAGCGCACACACAATTTGGCAGAGGACTGCCGGTCAGAATGCCAAAGAAAGTACTCTTTGTAGCTCTCCATAAATTTACTTTGAAGGAGTTCTGACTGGGTAATAGCTTGTATGGAAAATACTATCACAAGAGAAAAACACACACGGCACAAATTCAATCTCAAAGCCCCTTATTTATAATCGCATTTGTGACAAAAGAAATGGAAGGAAACACAGCACCACTGGCATTAATTAAAGAGAATCATATTTTATGAAGCAATTCTCAGGAAGTAAGTGCAGCACTGACCCTCCAGCCCCACCCCAGACAGACAATGTCAAATAAACTAACACATTTAAATTAGGGCATTAGACCAGACCAGTCTGGGCTAGGAGCAACATCACCCTACTAGCAACCCGCCTTAGCAACCCATAAGAAGGCCTATAGTGTTGGCGAGGTTGCTAGAGCAGAACTGGGCCTTGCACAATGCTGAAAACACACACACACACACACACACACACTGGTTTCTGTGGGTATATGTGCCCTGTCACTGCGGAAGGATAAGCTTTTCATGGTGCAACATGCAAACCCTAGACCTGGTGAGTGCAACGTGTGGCACTCCTGTGTTTCCTTGATATAATTCATGGCCGAATCAGCCAATGAAGACCCTGTTTGAATTCTGGAGCACCACACGTATTGCCTCCCAGGTAACGGGCCAAAAGAGAGGGGATGAGCTTGAGGCTGCACCAGGATCTCTTACAAACTCAGGCACTAGTCTCGCCTGGAGCACACTGCACTAGGCTGGACTGGACTGTTCAATACACACAATTTGACCAGACAGTAAATCTGATGAATCAAAGCAGATTTGGGGAACATGGTAAATCAAAAGAGGGGCAAGTCAGCAAAATAAAAAGAGATTGAACCTGACTGCTCTAAACAGGAATTGATGGATCAGAACAGGCAGGATGGTGCAAAGCAGAGTGCAGGACTATAAAGCAAACTCAATAGACAAAAAGCTTGAAACCAGCATAACACAGAATCTACTCAACTTATTCCGATAACCAAATCTGTGAACCAGATCTTCCACAAAAGACTCCATTTTTAAGAAATTAGAGAAGCTACAGTTTGTGTGTGGCGTGCTTTGTGTGTGAAACCACACATGTTCCTGTGTGGGATGATCGGACTACTTGAGGCAATGCTGCAGCTTAGTGAGGGCTAGAGGAAGATGAGGATCATTGGCTGAGTGATATGCGCATTGTGTGTTAAATATGCATGCACAGCAAAGTGTGTGTTAGTGTTTTCAGAAAAAGCAGGAGAAGAAAAATAGAGGGAGAGGAAAGGAGAGTGCTACAGAATCATGCTGCAGTGGGCTTTTACAAAGGATTGATGCACATGCTATACACATACAGTAAATGGCATGTACCCTTTCAACATAAAAAGGAACATTAAGTACGAGAAAAACACACGTAAAGACACAAGTCTGTCCTGACTGGTTTGAGGCTATCAGTGATATGAAGCTTTTGGAATTACATGCAGGGCAGCACAAGCTGATGATTTAAGGATTAGGGTGATCAACATGATATCAAGACTTTATCATAGACACTTCAAGCCAAACCAGTCCAGTCTAGATCAGCATAGACAGCATACTCTTCACCACCATGCTGCCCCTCAGCACTCTTACAAAGGGAGTGTTTGAATATTTCACCTTACACCGATTAAGCTCAGGACTGAGCAGAGGGGAGCATAGCAGATCTTTGACCAGTGCTTTGGGGAAAGTGAAGGACATTATGCTATATTACCCAGCAGGCACCAGGTGGTGGCGGTGCAGAGGACACCATGGCAACACCATGAAAATGCCATGGCAACACCATAGCAACTGTGGCCTCATTTGCTCGCTGGTGGTGTGGTACAGCCCAGACTTGCTACAGTGGCATGGTCGTCAGATACACACTTCAGTCACATCAGTAATAGTAACATTGTTCATTAATTATTTCATCAATCAATTAATTGATCATCATCAACAATCAGTCAAAAGGAGCAAGAACACAGTATCTACTGGTCTCTGTTTTTTGCTAAGTGAGAGACGGACAGAGGAATGAGCTGATTTAAAAAAAAAGTGATGAAAGAAAAAAAGCGAAAGGTCGATGGTCGGGTTAATTAACAAAGAGATGTGATCACCATATGATAAAACTTTAAAAAGAGAGGTGAAAGATGTTGAGAGCTTGTTAATGAAAACCAGGAGGATGAACTGCAGAGGAAAGCAGCAGAAAGTAAGAGACAGGAAACTGTGTGAGAGAAACATACTTATGTGTAAAAGCAGCGAGTGTCAAAAAGTGATGTTAGGTAGTACGAGAGGAGTGACAGACTGATAGCTATAGTAGATACAGATGAATAGAGAGTTTAGACATTTTTACTTGTCTTTTTTGTCACAGGCACTAATGTCTTCACAGTCATATAGGAGGAATCGAAATTCAAAAATGATTTCAGTGTCTAGAATCGCTACAAAGCTAAAACATTTAAAACTATTTCATCTAACACTTCCTCCAAATATACCAAACTTAACTAATATATATATATACCTGTATGTATATATATGTATATATTTATTTGTACATATATATTTCTTTATAGATAAATGATAGAATTCAAATGATAATTTCATACAATAAAATATCTCAGTTAAATCACAGTATAACATGGTACATTCTCAAAAACATAGTATATTTTAATATATTATTTTTTCTCAGCATAAAATAAATAAATAAAACAAAAATAAATAAGCCAGAGGGTTTTTAAGAGTCACTTCTGTTCATGCAGTCACAGACTTAAGTATTAGCGCCTCAATAGAAATAAAAAATGCTCAATGACATACCAGGTTAAAGCCCTGTTGATTGATTGAAAATGGCTGCTCTACTACACAGAAAGCAGTCGAACAGTTGCCGTGGTTTCCACAGTTGGTGGTGCAGAGTGAGCGAAGGTACTACCTCACTGAAAGGTGGCTGCCCTGGGTCCTAAGCATTTGCTACAATTGAACTACACAACCCTCCCACCACAAATCTTTGAGATTTCATTCAGCTAAACATGCAGTGATTTTGGGGCTGTCCAAAGAATGGGAAATGGCAAAAGCATTTCTCTAAAAAACAAAGACAGATTGTTGTTCAAAATTGCCCCACACAGACCTAGATAAAAAGCAATCCATGTGCAGATAAAAGGTACAGTCTGCCCTCATCTTAGGGCAAAGGAGTAGTTAAAAGGGGAATTAAGAAGGTCAACTAACCCTTCGATCTGTGACGACATGCACAAACACAACGCACAGTCCCTCTCATAGCAGGTCAACACCCCCATCCCCGCCCCCCCCTCCATCTAGCCATTATCAACAGCATCCAAAAGCTACAAAGTCTAAAAGTAGGTGTTCTTTTGCTACATCATGTCAAAGCTACATTCAACTACAATAGAAGAAGAGCTGGGCTGTGGCTGGTCTTAGTGTGAGAAATGAGGTGGATATGTTGACCTTATGAAAATGGGGTTTATGCATTGCAATGTTGGCAACATTGGCACAGTTTACACAGTAGATGGCTTTTGGCACAGCTCACATAAGGTACAATGCTACAGTTCACTACTTTCCCTCGAACACATAGCATTAGGTATTCATATTGGTCAGCCAGAGCCAGGTGCTGTGGACTTTAACTAATTTATTACATATGAGCAAATTAGATTACACTGATTGTACCTATAAGAGGATCAGTGAAGATGTGGAACATCTGACTCTGGCTGAAACAAATGATCTAGAGGAAAAACAATTACAATGTCTCAGATGCAAACAGATGTGCCATTGCATCGCTGTCACATTGAAGGTGGGAATATTGCTCAAAGTCAAACAGTCATCTGATAATCTTGATAACAGGAGTTAATACTGATTGCATTCAGTGACATCTCAGCTCTTGTATATGCACCTCAAATTGGATCTCAAAACATTCACAGTATATCGTCCAGTCTTCCTGTATTTTCCGAAAGGAAATAGTCAAAATACAGGATCATTTCCCCAGCACAAGTATCTGTGGTTCTTTGTTATTTAAACCTTGGTAACGGTGACTTTTATTGTCCATAATAGCAATATGAATTAACATCAAGGTAATAGTTTTACACATATCAGCAAAATATATTTCCGTTAGATTGTGCAGTTACAACTATGGCACGCATGTCTGAAAAATACAATGAAACTTGTGCTTCATATAATCCATCATCTACAAACTCTGCAATATAAAAGTGGAATACAATAACATCCTAAGGGAGCTGCACTTGGTTTTAATTCCCCTTACTTCATCTTGATAAATCTTAACTGGCCACTTTCATAAAAATAATAAAGTTCATAGCTGCACACCCCTTGCTCTGTAACATGTAGCTACAATTATTAAAATTACTACAAGCCTCCTGCACAATTGTCTTCAAAGCTAATTTGAATATTATGCAGCCATCTAGTGCCAATTACAGATATTGCACCAATCATCCACTTGCTCCACTTACATGATGGTGAAGTATGCATTGTTCACGTGTGGAAAGAAAAGATGGGTCTATATCTATGAAAACATATTTCATGGAAATCAATCTTGCTAAAAAGCTGTTGAGCGGAAATTTGGCACTGCTTTCAAATTATTCCCACTTCCAACACTAGCCACATCCAGCCTCCTCTTTATTAAAACACTAACACAGTGAGAGAAATATATTCATATATTAAAAAATAGGGCAAGAGGAGAAAAGTCTGAGTAAGAAAGAAAAGAAAAGACAGACGTAAAAAAAATCTGCTACATGTCTTTTTTGTTCTTATTGTTATTTCTCTTTTAAAGTTCAGTTTGTTGTTCAAATACTCAACTGTGTTGGAGCAGCTCTGGTTGGACCAGAGGAGAAATGACAAGCTCCCGCAGGCAGGAGGAGAAGGGGTTCAATCTGATTAAAAGTATTTTTAGTAAAACATGACATCAAGTAGATGGTGGTCCTGGGGTGGAGCTAGATGGGTCTGATGGTGTCAAAGGAGGTCAAAGGGCAAATAAATCGCACTTTCCTCACTGTGAAAGGTGTTCAGGCAGAGTGCATGAGAGAGTTGACTGCATTGCTTTTTATATCAACTGATTTACAAAAAGGAAGAAGAGGGGGCAGTCTCTTCAAGAAGTAATCCACCAATCCAGTTCAAAAGCCAACAGCCAATGAGGACAAGGAGCCAGAGTCGTTGACCAAGCACTGGCATCTTTTGGGAGAGTGTGGGTCTCTTCACGTCCCACAGAGGAGTGTTCTCAAAGCCAGAGGGAGGGAGACGTTTTGAGCATACATCTTTGTGTGTACGTGTGTGTGTGTGCTCGTGCATGTGTGTGTTTGTGTGTACAAATATGACATCATTACTCACAAGTCGGACACTACTCTTATCCATAGTTGTGACTCTGGGAGGGGAGGAGAACCGAAGATGACATCACAAAGCTCAATTCTGAGCGGAGGAGAAGTTCGGGAGCTGCCGTCCCCGCAAACGCAGTCTCGCCTTCACTCTCGTTGTCATGGGAACCATCCAAGCGGATGTAGCTCACCCTGGTGTGGCGTCTCACTGTCGCCCTCACAAGAACGCGAACGATGGAGCGGGTGGCGGTTGCGTTGCTCTCACACAGAGTAGTGCTCGCAGTAGAACTACTGTCCATGTTAGTTCCTGCAGTGATGGTCGCCAATTGATTACCAATGGTCACCAAGGCAGCCATATCTCTGCTGTTGTCCCTGGCTTCAGCTGCCATGGCACCACGGTTCTCAATCGTAGTGGTGCTCACTCCCACGTCTCCCTCTCTCCTGTCCCCCTGTCATACCTCGCTCTCCAGGCTGGAGAAGTGGGCCGACCCTCGGCGAGAGCAAAGGCTCTTGGCTTTGAGTGGCAGGTGTGGGGAGAAGAACCTCCGTGGCTGTGGCACCGAGCGAAGTCTCTGATACTGGAGCTTGGCACTGGCCGAAGCCTGAGCCTGGCCCACCATCCCGACCCCTGCTGGGGGTGGGACGGAGGATGAAGAGGGTGGAGGCGGGATGGGCACCGGGAGAGAAGTGGGAGACATGGATGGCTGCTGGGGGGGCGAGGGTGAGGGCTGAGGGGGATGGTCCATGGGCTGTGTGCTGAGGCTGAGGTTAGATTGGCTGCCTGATTTGGCCTGACTGGAATCTGGTTTTGGGGGGAGAGGCTTGGGGCGAGAACCCCCGCTGAAGCTGTGGCAGTGGGGGAGAAGCTCTTCCTGGCTGTGTGAAAGCGCTGTGGCTCCTCTCTTGGAGTGGGAGGCGTGCGAGCGGCTGTGGGGATGGGGGTAAGGATGGGGCTGTGGGTAAAGGCTGCAGGAACACATGGTGGCTCGTCCTGCTTCTCCCCCTCTGTCTCGAGATCGCCCCTTGCTCTTCCCTCCTCTACTCTTCCACTTTTTCTCTCCCTTCACAGGGATCTTGTCCATGGACCAGTACCTCCTCGGTGGAGGGAAGGCTGCAGGGGGGGGGTGGCCACTGGGAGCCGAGTCCTCCACTCCCTCCCCCTGAGCCCCAACCTACTCCTGGCCCTGAACCCAAGAAATCAGCACCAATCCACCTTTCTGCCCGAGTTCCTAGTAACGAATCATCCCGACTGTTTATACTCCCCCCTTTCTCTCTGGAGGGGTAAGTGCCAAAGAACCAGCCTCCCCCGCCTATGCCCCCTATTCCAGCGCTGCCTCCCCCTGCACCTCCTTCCCAGTATCTTTCAAAACGGCCAAACTCCCCTGACGAGCCCTCATCTGAATAACTGTCCTCTGCCCGGGCCCTGTCCCTCTCTGACTCAGACACTGCCCCCCTACCTACTCTCCTCCCTCTCTCCCTCTGTCTCTCCCTCTCCTCCTCTTCCTCATCATCATTATCCTCATCCTCCTCCTCATCCTCAGAGTCCCACTCAGGGAAGGACGGCCCTTCTCTAGTCTGTGCTTTCTCTTTTTCATAATGCATTAACAAAGGACGCCGCTCTCCTAACCTCCCGCTGTCATCTCTCTCTACCCCTCCACTTTTTCTCCTCTTGGAGGAGGGCAGCAGTGGGTGGAGGGAGGTTGGAGGAGTGTTAGAATCATCTCCTCTTCCATTCACCCAAAACTTTACAGATGCAGGCAGTTTGTTTAGGTTCGGGTAGCGCTTACTGGGAATACGAGGTCTGGAATGAGAGTGTGAGGATTTGGGACGCCTCTCCCTGCCCCTGCTACTGTCCTCCTGTTCATTGCCCTCATCTCCTCCCTCCCTCCTCCCTCTCTCTACCCTGTCTCCTTCCCAAGAATCCCGTCCCTTCTCCCCAAATGTGCTCCGATACTGAGCAGAGAACGAGTAGTCTTGTATTCCCCCTTCCATCTCTCCTTCTGCCTCCCCTTCCCTCTCTGCCTCTCCATCTCCCTCCTCTGGCTCGGAGCGTCTCCCCCCAATTGATTTCTTCCTTTTCTTTGTCTTTAGCTCCTTCTTCTTCTTCTTTTTAACCTTTCGCCGCTTCCTTTCTCTCTCTCGCTCCTTTTCCCTCTCTTCCCTCTTTTTCCTCTTTTTGTTCTTTTTCTTCTTCTTCTTCTCTTTCTCCTTCTCTTTCCTCCTCTTCTTTTCCCGTTTTAGCCTTTCAGCATCTCCACCTACTCCACCCCTTTCTCTCTCACTCCAGCTTGCCCACCACTCTTGGAGCTGAGACAGTTGGCTTCCCCCCCTCTCCCTCTCTCGTTCCCGTTCTCTGTCACCCCAGGATGTGCGGGGTTTTCTGGGGGGAATGGGCGGTGGCAGACGCCCTTGGCTGAAGGAACGAGGCCGGATGATTGAGCGTTCCCTCTCCCTCCCCCTGCCAAGGAGGAGGCTCGACTCTTCGGTCAGCTCTTCATCGTCATCGTCATCCTCTCCATCTATTCCTCCAGTCCTGTCCCGTGTGCTCCTGGAGGAGCTGTAAGAGTAGGTGGGAGAGGTCGAGCGGGAAGATGAAGCAGATGAGGACGTGGATGTGGACGAGGTGGTCGACGAAGACGAGGAGGACGTATAGTGCAAAGATGCAGAGGGCGAAGGAGGGGTGTAAGAGGGGCTGAGGGGTACTGGCACAGGAAGTGAGAGCGGGGGAGAGAGGGGGCGTGCCCTCCTCCCTCCTCCCTCTCTCACTCCATCTCGTGCTCCTCCCCTCCGCCCCAGTGGCAAAATGTTCTCATACAGAGGCCCTCCAGGCTCTTTGGGTTTCTTGGGCCTGCGCTTCCTCCAGAAGGATGAGGGGAGAGGGGGAGAGGGGTGTGGCAGCGGGGGTGTAGGGGGCAGAGGGGCCTGACTCTTAGAAGGCAATCTGGGAGTGCCCAGAGGTTTAACGGCCCCCTTCCCCTGACCTCCGCTGCCACCTCCCACCACCTTCTTCCCCACCCCATGATCTACGCCCTTCTCTGAATAGAAGGCCACACTGGCTGGAGGGGGCTGGGGGTGGCCCCTGGGCATAGTCTTGGGGGTCTGGGAACCTGCCTGCTGCTCCATGCAGGGCCCCAGTCCCTCAGGGTCAATGGGACCATAGTATCTCTTATAGCCATCAAGTCCCCCACCCCCTCCAGCAGCTGAAGCCCAGTTTGGTGGGACTTTCTGGGCAAAGGGTCCCATGTCAGTGATTGCCCCCCTTACAGCCAATGGGTTTGTGGCTGCAGCGGTTTTTGGCAGCCTCCAGCGATCCACCACGGCCAGTCTGCGGTCTGACCGGGGCAGGAAAGTGGAACAAGGGAGGGGTGCACCAGCTATGGGGGCATTTGAGGGACCCAGTGCAGTCCCAGAATGCACCACGGTGGGAGGAGAGCCCGGTAGAGGTGTCTTGTAGACGGGCTGTGGTTGCTGCTGTTGCGGTGGTTGCTGCTGTTGCGCCATGGCAATGACTGGGTTGGTCTTAGACGTTGAGACAACATGCGGCTTGGACGGAACTGTAACCATCGCAGTGTGGTGATGAGTTGGCAAAGTTTTACTTCCACCTGGCGTTGTTTCATCTTCAAAACTACAGCAGCTATACATGCCCTGAGAAAAAAGGAAGCACAAAACAAGAACACAGAGTTCAAATGCAGTGTAGCATGGAATACAATTTAATAAACAATATTTCCTGAAATGGAAATGTATACAAACTAAAAGTTTTATTCGAGATAATGTTGCAGGAATATATTGGCAAAAGATTTAACAACATACATGCTTACAGATGCCCCACAAGTACAAAATACATTCTATTACTGAATGTACAAGCGAGATATAGGGACAGAGAAAGTGGATGAGATGAAAATTATAAAACAGAAGTCCAAATAAGTTCCAGTTATCAAAAGTAATGCAAGATTGCTATTTTTCAGAAAAACATCCATTCCTATTTATAGTGCAGCTGTGCATTGTTTGCCTAATGAAATTGCATACATAAATGCATAAATTACTACCACAATAGTGAAAAAGAAGACATTATTATCTGTGTAGCTACAATAATCACATGCATATGGTGTGGGCTGTTTCTGTCAAGGTCACTGTTAAAGGAACAGCATATCCAGGATGTGAGCAGAATTGAATTTCAATTAATCTCCCGAATTGACTGAGTGGAATTGAATTGACCCTAGACCTCACACTTTTCTCACACTCAGACTGAGTAAGAGATAAGGGCACACATGTTCTTGAACATGTGTGTGCATCTGGTTACATGCACAGCTTTGGTATCAATCTTGTTGTCCTGATAAGAGTAGTTTAAGTGCTCTATAATTTTAAAACACCCCATCGATGCCACTAAAAAGGGTTTTAATGGAGTTAAAACATAAGCAGTTGAAATGTGGATATAAAAATGTCAGACGCTTAAACTCTGAATGCCTCTGAATAAGACATTTTGTGCGCTGAACACACACACGCACACTGACAGACAAAAGCACTTACTCTGCTGATTGCCAGGAGAAAGTCCAATTTGCCAGAACTGGTGGCCATGCAGTGGCGCAGCTTCCAGTAGACCAAGTGTTCCCAGGCAAACACCAGCAGACTGAGGCCCATGGCCACCAGCAGCATGTAGAAAACACCAGCCATGTTGTCAATATCCAGTTTACTGCTCATCACCTCAATTTTGTCATTATGGCAGATCCCAGACAGCCAAAGGCGCTCCAGCATTTCAATCTCATCTGGAAGGGGGGAGGACGAGACGGGAAATGAATAAGGTACAAGGTGGTACAAGTAAAGGAGGATAACATACAGAAAAATAAGAGGAGGAAGAAATGCACAATATTAATACAAAAAAGAAAATAATGGAAACTAAGAATGGAAAATACAAGAGGTAAAGGGGTTAAGAAGTGAGAGACAGGATCATGTTGGTAGGATGTAGAGGTTATTTCAAGGTTGTAGAGACAGAAAGGAAGGACAGACAGACGATAGATATAAGAGGCAATAGGAAGAGACAAGGGGCACACAGGGAGACAGAAAAGGCTAATAAGCACTAAAGTACAAGTCTACAGTATTGCTTGCCATTTGCCCATTATCCAAGGTGACTTCTCAAGGTCATAGGTCAGTATACAAAAAGCAGCACTGTGTCCAAAGTAACAAAGAGGTTGGCGCCCGAGACAGAAAGAGAGAGTCCAAAACAATGAAGCAGCACTGAGAAGTAAAATGGCACCGACAACCTAATCTCAACATTGTAACCCAGAGTAAATGAGGAGAGGAGGAGAAGAGGGAGACCAGGAGCCACAGTGAGGTGGTGGGATAGGTTGAACAAGCATGGAAGAGAGGGAGAGAGGTAATGAGAGAGTTGAGAAGAATATTTTACAAAGAGAGAGAGGAAGCGGCGTTCTTTCTCTGTCCACGAGCGCATCAGGGGAAATGAGACAGACAGAGGCACGGGGCGAGTTAGAGGGAGCTGCAACAAGGGAAGCAGAGATGGAGGATGAGAAGCTGAGATTGTGTCATTATGACAAACTGCAAGAACACTCTTCTTCAGCTTGAACAGGATGAGAGGAGAAAGAAAGAGGAACAATTGTGAAGAGAGAGATGATGGGAAGGGACAGAGACAGAGGCAGAGGGAGAAGATCATAATCATTTAATTGTGCTGGAGGGATGGTCAGAATCTCCATCAAGGTGGTAAGCTCTGGAGGATTCAAGATTCCCATCTGTTAACCTACCAGGAACCAGGAAAGACCGCTTTACCCATCTCTTCATTTATGATCTCACTGGCCTAACGAATCTCAGCTGCCCTGCTAAACCTGTGATTGGCTGCAGGGGTTGCTGGTGTAACCATAGTGATGGACAGCTGGAAGATGTAGTGCATGATTCATGGTGGAATTAAAGAGGTGTATTCTCCAACAGGACTCATAATGAGAGCTTTCTGTTACATTAATAGCAATGTTAG